CTGGGCCATCGTCAGCGCCACCCCTGACCCGGCCGACCAGTACAAGGGCGCGCAGGAGGGGGGAGGAGGGGGGGGGCACGACGGGGAGGATCTCTTGGGCGGAGCGCCCTCCCTCGGAGGCCCGGAGGCGTCGACACCGTCACCCAGAGCGGCGGTGCGCCTCCACCGAGGGTTTGGCATCGTTCGGACGGCCATGAAGGAGCATCGAGGAGCATCCTGGGCCATCTTGCGATCAAGATGCACGCACGAAGCCGAAAGATAATTTCCAACCGTCCTGTGGTGTTGGGCCCTTGTTTTGAGGAGACGGCGCCCTACGTTCTCCGCCTCCCGCCTCCTTCCTCCTCCCCCTCCTCTTCCCCTCCTCCCCCTCCTCCCTCCCCCTCCCCAGTGCCACCGCCCGCATGCGTCGCCCACACCCATGTCGGCACACCCCTCACACTCTTCGTGGCCCCATAAGGAGCTCCACCGAAGGCCACAGTGCCACAGCCCGCATACGTCACCCACACCCATTTCGGCACACCCCTCACATGTTTCCTGGCTCCATAGAGAGCTCCACCGACGGCCCCGGTGCCACCGCCCGCATGCGTCACCCACGCACATTCAGGCACACCCCTCACGCGTTTCGTGGCCCCACAGGGAGCTCCACCGAAGGCTCCTGTGCCACCGCCCGCATCCGTCACCCACACCCATGTCGGCACACCCCTCACACGCTTCGTGGCCCCGTGGGCAGCTCCACCGGAGGCCCCAGTGCCACCGCCCGCATGCGTCACCCACGCCCATTCAGGCACACCCCTCACACGCTTCGTGACCCTATAGGAAGCTCCGCCGAAGGCCCCAGTGCCACCGCCCGCATGCGTCCCCCACACCAATTTCACCCCTCACACGCTTCGTGGCCCCACTGGGAACTCCACCGAAGGCCACAGTGCCACCGCCCGCACACGTCACCCACACCCATTTCGGCACACCTCTCACGCGTTTAGTGGCTCCGTAGGAAGCTCCAACGAAGGCCCCGGTGCCACCGCCCGCATGCGTCACCCACGCACATTCGGGCACACCCCTCACGCGTTTCGTGGCCCCACAGGGAGCTCCACCGAAGGCGCCAGTGGCTGCGTTCGCATGCGCCCACCGCACCCATTTCGGCACAGCCATCACACGCTTCGCGGCCCCATATGGAGCTCCACCGACGGCTCGTAGCAGCGTTCGCATGCGCCCACCGCACTTTTTTCGGCACACCCCTCACCCGTTTCGTGGGCCCATTGGGAATTCCACCGACGGCCCCAGTGACTGCTTTTCGCATGGGCCTCCCAGACAAATTTTGCCTCACCCCTTATTTTTCACGGTCCTATAGGCAGCTCCTCCGTATGCGGTGCATACAACGACGGTGCTCACAACTGCATATGGTTGGGTCCTTCGCCAATCTTTTGTTTCCCAGCCATCCTGTGGTGTTGGGTCCTCGTTCTGAAGAGACGGTCCCCGCGTTTCTCTTCTCCTCCTCTTCCCCCTCCTCCTCTCCACCGCTCGCACGCGTCCCCCACACATCCAATTTGGCACACCCCTCACACGCTTCGTGCCCCCATAGAGAGCTCACCGAAGCCCCCAATGGGGCCGCCCGCATGCGTCCCCCACATCGAATTTGGCATTTTCACCCACCCAGTACAGCGCTTCGTGGCCCCAGTGGGAGCTCCACCGAAGCCTCCAGTGCCACCGCCCGCATGCGTCCCCCACACCCAATTTGGCATTTTCACCCACCCAGTACAGCGTTTCGTGGCCCCATAGGGAGCCCCACCGAAGCCCCGAGCGGGACCGCCCGCATGCGTCCCCCACACCCAATTTGGCATTTGTGTTGACCCAGTACAGCGCTTCGTGGCCCCATAGGGAGCCCCACCGAAGCCCCCTGTGGGACCGCCCGCATGCGTCACCCACGCCCAATTTGGAATGTTCACTCATCCAGTACAGAGCTCCGTGGCCCCATGGGGAGCTCCACCGAACCCCCAGTGGGACCGCCCGCATGCGCCCCCCACACCCAACTTGGCACTTCCACCCACCCAGTACAGCGCTTCGTGGCCCCATAGGGAGCTCCATCGAAGCCCCCAGTGGGACCGCCCGCATGCGTCCCCCACGCCCAATTTGGCAGTTTCACCCACCCAGTACAGCGTTTCGTGGCCCCATAGGGAGCCCCACCGAACCCCCCAGTGGGACCGCCCGCGTGCGTCCCCCACAGGGGGCTCCACCGAAGCCTCCAGTGCCACCGCCCGCATGCGTCCCCCACACACCCAATTTGACATTTGTGCTGACCCAGTACAGCGCTTCGTGGCCCCATAAGGAGCCCCACCGAAGCCCCCAGTGGGACCGCCCGAATGCGTCCCCCACACCCAACTTGGCATTTCCACCCACCCTTTTACAAAGCTTCGTGGCCCCATGGGAACTCCACCGAAACCCCAAATGGGACCGCCCGCGTGCGTCCCACACGCCGAATTTGGTATTTCCACCGGCCCAATGC